CAGTTTACCTTTATTAAATTTGCCAAATAGTTTGTTTATCTTCATTCTGGGAAAATAGGTGCCTACAATTTGTAAATATGTCGGTCAAAAATAGACCAGCTAGCTGTTCTTGGTTGACATACTGTCAAGGCACACAATGAATTCCTCCCTCCTCTCTCTCTCTCACACACATACATGCACACACACACTTCTTTCTCTCTCACATACACACACTCAGAAATGTATCCAGTAGAGTAAAATATTCACATTAATACTGGAAGCGATGGAGAAGAACCACGGTCGACATCCCATCTGTTCGCTTGAATTAAATTTAGAATTCATATGTAATATAGACATTTCTGTCTGAATATCATAAAGCCCTGACACATTCAGGCTTTCATTAAAAAGCTCTGAGATGTGACTTGAATAACAATCTGTCTTAGCTAATTAGTATTTTCAGTTTAGCATATTCACTTTCAGACGTATTGCTGTTTGCACATGGTAATTTAGGTAAACAGAGCCCATCCACAGCTGCATCAATTAACACTGCTAATCAAAACTGAATTCAGGTAATTAGGCACATTTATGCAAAAAATGTGTAATTTGTGGGGAAAGCTGGATTCTTCAGTAATATTTCAATAAGAAGGAGTCTCTTTTTGCAAATAAGGCAAGGAAATAATGGTAAATCAGCTCTAACATGTACATGATGCATACTCAGTGACAAATATCTAAATTAAATCTCACTAATTGGTCTGTATTTTCAGCAATTGGACAATAACTTTTTCATATAAATGTTTTCCTTAGTGTTTCTGCATGGGAGAATGGAATAATTTCTGACAAAAGTTTTAGTGCATTTAAAAGTTAATGTTCCCTCAAGCAGTTTTTGAACTGTTGAACATGATGGTCCAACTTGTTCTTATTTTCAGTCAGACAAATTTTAATGAAAATGCCCTCACTTAATTTACAATTTAATTTCTTCAAAGAAGACATACTTTCATTTACTTTAAAGAAACTCTTCTAGACATTTCTACAACCATGCATTTCAAGAATTTAAAATAGGAAATACTTCAAAAATATTCTGCATTGACCTACAAAGTTTCACACCCTTTCTTTCTCTTTCCCTCACCCAAATCAAAATTTGAAACCCTCCAAACACTGCTAAAAACCCCCCAAACCCCAACATTTAAGCAGTGTAAGAAACTGTATATTCATAAGAGAATTTTCATTTCTATTGAAACGGAAATAAGGAATGTTCATTGTAACATTATGCTCCAACAGTTTTCACATGCAGCTATTCAAGTTATTCAAAGTCAATTCTCTGTTACGCACACTTTCAGAAAACTCTACAAGTCTGATGGGACAAAAAAATGCAATTATCAATTTGCAGCTAATTTTCCATGATAAAAAGAAATACCTAGGAAATTATTGATCTTTAACAGATGTCTAAAATCAATCTACTATTTTTGTATCTTCTCCCTGATTTGAGACTAACTTTGTCTGAGGGATATATAATAAATTTTCATTATGTGCAGATTTGCAATATGGAATACATAGCTTTGCTAAAAACATCATTGTAAAGGAAAAATACCATTACAACTTTAAGGTCTAACCCTATATGGCTATTGAAATTGCAGTGCGTTTTGCTATCATACAGAATACAGTGCATGTATCACTGTTCAGAAAGTTTTCTCTATATAGAAAACTGTTTTGTTCCACTATAAAAATGCTTAACATGCGCTGCAGTTAAAATGGTCTTAAACCTCCAATTTTCATTTAGTTATTGGTAGAGTAGCATATTGAAAGAATATTGACAAAAGAGTTCAAAAGGAAAATAAAGCTGTTGAAGGAGTAAAATTTTAAAGTATTTCCTATTCAAATACTCTCAATGACTACCGCTAATGCTAGAATGTTGAACAAGATAATTTCTAAACAATTATCAGACCAACTTAAAAATATATGCAGTTCCCTATGCCATTGTCACTAGGGGCACTGGTGAAGGGAAACAACATTATAACTTCACCTTTTTTCCATTCTTCCCTTGCAAGAGAAAGACTCACTTACATGTATATCACACGCTAAGCAGCTGTCCAATCTCTCATGTGACTTATTAACATTGACATACAGGGAAGATCATCAAAACAGTCTTATGTGACCTGTCTCTGAAAGAACTTGCCCTGCTTGATAAATGCTTTTTCAAAAGAGCAAAACAGAAGGTGTAATGACTAACAGTGTTTATTTTAAATGTTTTAGTCCGTAGGAAGGGAGTATAGTGACAACATCCTAGCCTCCCCCCTCCTCCACCTCCCACATTGCTAGTACTTTTTTAGCCTGAAGTACTCAGATATAGTAAGTATTCCAACAGACTTTCCAGAAATATTTTATTATGCTGCCCTGTTTGTTCTGCCTGACCACATTGGTAAATATAAGCAGAAAGAGTTAGGAGCATCTCTTCACTGAACCCATATATGTATATAGCAGACATCATACTTCATCGTGAATTCTCCTGATGCATCATCCATTTGAAAATTTTATGTCATGCTAGAGGATCATTATTTCACACAATTTGAAAGGGATTTTTGATGTTGAGGTTTAATAAATGTATGGTAGTATTAGTTGATAACAGACTAGGGTATAATGGCTATATAAAAAAAGAAAATGCTATAAACAAGAGTTGGCTGGTAAAATATGTAAAAGGATGGAGGCACCTTGCTAATAAAAAAAAGAAAAATATTGGATGCTATATACCTACTATTGCTAACTAAAGTAACATGAATATGTATGACTACAAAGAACCTATAAATATTGTTTTCCTCAATTTAAAGAAAAGTTTCATCCTACTCCAAGCACTCAAAAGCATTCCAGAATTATAGGAACAATAAATATTTAAATAAATAAATATTTAAAGTTCATATTTATTTTCTCCATAGACCATGCAACTCATTATTCATAACATAAAAACTGTTGAAATGTTTCATGTCCCTGGTATTCATAGGGTTAATTCAAGGACATGCAAAAATGTTTAGTTTGAGAAAAGAAAAAGCAAGAGCCAAAAGCCAACAATTAGTACTCTACACCTTACATGAGGAAAAAAAAGCTCAATAATTTACAAATGTTGAAGGAAGTGCTAGTTCCATAATTAAAAATCAGGCAGAGATCCTTTTGGCAAATGGATCTCTTTGTTAAACATCCCACTAATCCAAGCCTTAAGGTATAATTCAGTACCCTGGAGTATCCCCTCTATACTTTTGCCAGCTGTTCCATTTAGGTCACTCCACCACAAGTTTAGCTTTTATCTATTCCTCACTTTCTTCACTGGGTCCCAGAAGCAGCAACCCATCTCTCTGAAGGCTGTTTAAAGTGTAAATGAAAAGACGAGACAGAAGTGAGCTGGTACCTCAGGGTCCTTAATTTCTGAACTGCAATTCCTTGGACTTCCCTACCTTGACAGATGCAATACGAAATCTTCCATGATGAAAAGTGAGGAGAAGAACTGAATATAGAATGCAGACAGCACATTCATTATCATTTTAATGCCTTGCAGTTACATGAAAGAATAGGAGATTTTCCTGGGCAGAAAGTTCACTCAAGACCAAACAGTTGCAGTAGCCCTGCTGCCCTTCAGCCCAATTCCCAGTACTATTGCTGCTTGCATGCAAGGAAAAACCTTCAAAGAGCCATTTTCTCTCTTCTCAGGTGGGCAGGAAGAGGTAGACTCAGGGAGAGGAAGGAAAAAGAAAGAAGAAAAAAGTAAAAAGAAAAAAATCCATGGTAGATCCAGTAAAGTGCCAAGGACCATGAAGAGTCCTGGGTGCAGACCTGACCCACTTGTGTCCCTCCCCTGGACCAGCAGGTGGAGGAAGGAGACAGCAATGTTTCAAGGGCTTGTTTATGCAAACTAAACCAACCTCAGGTAACTAAACTGCTTCTAATTTACCACTATTTCGGTGCTTTTAGCAAATACATAATTTCTTTAAAAAAGCATCAAAAATATGTGAACTGGGCCCATTTATAATGGTTCTAGTCAGTGTAAATTTAAATGCTCCGAGTCGTTATAGTCCTCCAGAACTACTTTTAGACAGTACGCTGTTTTGTAGCAACACACTGATCTCTTACACTGGGAGAATTAAGAGTAATTCATTATAAAACAAATCACTGCCCCAACATTAATTTGTCTGGGTAAAAAAAAAAAAAAAAAAAAAAAAAAAAAAAAAAAAAAAAAAAAAAAAAAAAAAAAAAAAAAAAAAAAAAAAAAAAAAAAAAAAAAAAAAAAAAAAAAAAAAAAAAAAAAAAAAAAAAAAAAAAAAAAAGAAAAAAAAGAGCAAGGCAGATACTCTGGGAGAAATTTTAAATGAAAGTGAATCTTTAATGAAAGATTTATAAAAAATGCAACAAGCATATCGCTGGGGTCTTTCCAATTTAATATTAAGTAATAAAGTTCACACACAAACATACCAACTGTAATGTGTATCAGAATTATAAAATCAGTTGGAAATTTGGTTTCTAGGTGTTCAAATGCTGGTCAGTAGCGCAGCCACTGTGACTCCGATGATCATCTGCGTGACTTTACAGATGCAAGTAATCCCATAGGCTTTAGACAGCTGCTAAGATAGTGCCCTGATCCTACACATGCAGCACGATGTACTAGCTCCAATCTAAAAAAACCCACTTGTTCATGTTTGTTGGAAGGATGGGAATCACAACCCTGAAGCAGCACAGCAATCCACACGCGCTCAGCCTGCACTTGTAGAAGTGCTCTGTCAGTCAAAAAGTGCAGTTTTGCAAGCTCATTCATCTGATTTTTAAGGATTAGGGAAAAGGAAAAGAAAACAAACCTCAAAAAACATACATGTAGCTTTATTTCTAATTCTGCGATGGCTCGCATCCAAGCAGCCCAGCTTCGACAAGCTGCCTTGTGAGGCCGGGCAGGGACCCTCACCTGTGTTACGCTGCCTGTCTGTGCATGCATCGGCTGGCTCAAGGTCTACAGGTAAAGCATATCCACCGTGATTTGTACTGCTTACCTGGATGATGTGCTTCCACGCACTCCTGCCGACATTCCTGCATGTGAAGGTCCATTGCAGGCAGCTGCTCCCAAGTTCAGCGTCCCCGTGACACAGCTGCTCCGGCGGGAATGAGCAGAGCAAAGGCAAGGTGCCACTGGTCAGTTCTACCACAGCCCAGTGCGCTGTCTGCAATCACATCTCACTGAGTGCAAAAGGAAAATTAAAACATTTTTTTCTCTTACACTTAGAACAGTATGCTGTGTCATTCGTGTTTGCATTTAAATTGGACAGAATAATTTACTGCTGGCTTTTAATTTCAGAAGGGTTAATCACCTCAGCAAAGGTCAATCAAACTTTAATCTCCAATAAAATTGCAGTAGCTTCAGTCACCTGCAGGACATTTATTATATTCTTATTTCCATGCAAAAGAATGCATCACTAATCCTCTAATTCTTTACATTAGCACATTTGCCATTAACATTTTACTAAAATTATTAATTCCTATGAAACTATTACAAGAGCTCATTTCTACACATCTCAGAAGATAATCCTGTTAAAAACCAGCCACATCTACTGTGACATTGCTTTAGTTGTCTGCTCTAATCCTCACAACCGTTTGATACTCCAGCCGAGTTCTAACAATGCACGAAGTCTCAATTACACAAAATATTACAGGGTTTAGTTTAGAACAACAATATACTGTTTTAGTAACTTAATCTTCCCTATTGTCTGCAATCTTAATGCTAATCTATTTTACCACTGCTCACAGCATTTTCTATTCAAAACGAAATATAGATTTTTAATTTTGCTTAGCAAATCTTTGAAAAGCAGTAATTTACAAGAATAAGTTAAAACCTAGAATCCATTACCAAGAGTAGGGATAATAATGATGATAGGAATTTATTTCTGGCCTGCAAAGAAGTATTTCCTCACAAAACAGGAGACTCTTTCGGGGAATAGCCCATTAACAAATAAAGAAATTTTAAAAAAATTATATATAGTTGGCCTTTTTAGTTTGGTCTAATAATTAAGAACAATTTTTCTGCTATTAAATTGACTGAGAACTGAAAAATTCAAGTCAGGATTAGTTTTAAACTACCATTGCAATAATATCATCTCAAAACCTGAAAATTATTTCACTTGAAACAGAAAATTATCAAATAGAAATGAGCACATCTCAGCAAGAAGTTGGGTTTAGGAATACATCAGCTATTTCAGCTATATAACAATACATTCCTTCAAAATTCTACTGCAACAATTCTACCTGAATGCTCAGAACTAGTTTACCTGTAAAGATACAGAGAAAAGCACAAGAAAACTCAGGAAGAGCTCATTACGGTACTGAAATACAATGCAAACAATTCATTTCCCAAATTTTAGAAACTGGTACCAAAAAGTCAAAATTACTTGGGCTGAAAAATACTAATACCATCAAAATAAACGGGTCTCCCTTACCCTCCTACCATGGCCATATCAGCTCCTGTGAGGAAGAAATCTCACATCTATTTAAAATGGATTTTTTAGCCATAATAATATTTTGACATACCGTAATGTAAATAAACTGTTCTTTCCCATCCCAATATTTCCTTCTGTGTCTCTCTGTCTCCGTCTCTCTCTCCTCTTTTTGTTTTAATATATGGCACACAGACAGACACACGCCCCCGTCACTGTCAATATGCACACTCATTAGCAATATGTCAGACTGGCATTTTCAACACACTCCAGAGCATAACTGAGCTACCACACAGAGCGCACACACACATGTAAAAACACAATAGCACAGAAAAAGAGCTCAGTGGAATAATTTTTAACTTGGGAAACTAAGTAAACATAAAAAAGGAATGAGATTCTAAGCCAATATTTTACAAAGGTGCTGAGAAGTGAATCTTGAGCTATAAGCACCGATGCTGCTCTCCTTTTACACACACAAATACACGGACAAATACACATACACAAAAGAGAGCATTTTACTAAGACATTCTAACACTGAATTATGAACACAAGAATACGGGGTTTTCCCTGTTGTTGGGGGTTTTTTACACCTTTTAAATTACATTCTAACTTGAAGTAATGAATGAAAATAAATATTGCAAAACAAACCCAAACAACTACAAGTTCCTAGAACACAGACTGTCAACAGCATTTGTAGTCCTTCCAACTGAGAAAATTAGCTCTGAAAACAACCACATCCATATTTTTGGCAAAAAGCATCTGGCAAGACACTGAAGACCACTTAGAAAGGGTGAGTAGCACTGAACTACAGTTTTGATTATTCACCTTTTCACGCATTGATAAAGCATATTCTAGATTGCCATTGCAACTGCTTTAAAATACGACAGAATAGCTTCACGTGGCACTCTGAAATGAAAGGTATCATCAAAGGACCATGTATTTGATTTTTCAAGAGAACTAACAGTGAAGAAATGTATAGGGAAAGAAACATACCTTTAGTTATCCTAGCGAAAGACTTCTCAGCACATCTACATAGTCCTGCGGCTCCACCAGTACAAAAGTCAACACTGCAGCGCTTCTGATCTCTGTGACAATGGCATCATACTGCCGGCAATTTTTTCGATTAAACTTCTCAGACATGGTAGCAACTTTGTTAATTATGATATTAGCCAGCTGGCGGGTACAATCAATCATCCACTGTAAGAAAGCCAGACAAAGAGACATCTAATCATTGCAACCAGAGGAGATAAATTTTGTTCCTTTCTTATACGTGTCACAGATTCTATCCCTCCTGACCCTCTACACAGCCATCGACTGTCAAATTTAGATTCAGCAAGCTCCCAGCTTTTCTTTATCCCTGCCTTAGATCTGAAACTCCTGGTTATCAGGAAGACAAGCGTCACCAGCTGTCTCAGAACAGGAAGGCAATCAGGTGAATAGTACTTATTATCTCTCATTGCCTTCTGAGGAGCAACAAGATTGATTTTGGACCAACAACGCATCCAGATCTCAGGCACAGCTACTACAGTATCAAGTCTACAATGCAGTGCATACGTAAAGCTGACCTCAGCCTTTGTTAATACTGCATACCAAAAGTTTAAGGGCTGATCTTTTTGCTTTGTTTTGGGTTGGGTTTGTTGGGTTTTTTACTTTTGTTTTGGATGTATTTTGTGGGTTTTGTTTTGGTTTTTTGTTTTGTTTTGGTTTGTTTCTCTAAGAAAACTATTAAAGTAATTTTTTTCTTCACAGCTGCACTGGATATTCTCTTATTCCAGGCCTCCTTCCCCCCACCTCAGAAAACCCAGGCAAGCAGACCTCACTGTTTCTCAGGGGACTCTGTTTCACAGTTGGATAGTCTTAATTGGGCCCACAGAAGCAGTTAGCTCCCATTAAAGGCCTTCTCTGTATACATCTTCCTCTCAACTAGTCTGATCATACTTAAAACCCCACTAGTGAAGACTACATTCTAGAAGGTTAAACACTCAAATATATTATAAGCTCAAAATATAAAAGAATCCTAACAGAATTTGAGTTGATAGTGAATTTCAGCATTGCTCTAGGAAAGAAGAATATATTTGGGCTTTTTCATTTACAGTATTGGCCAATCACATGCTCTTGACCTTTTTTTACAACTCAAATATGTTGCAAAGTACTGAAAGGTAGTTCATGCATAGTAGAAACAACGTTTACAATAGAATAAAAGCTATCACAGTAATGCATTCTGGTAAAAACAAAAATCCATCAACTAACTTGATACATCTCAAAATGCCTTCTGACCATTCCATTTAACTAAATAGAACAGAATATATTAATCAATTAATACAAATTTATAAGGGCATGCAAAAATTTTTATGACCAGTCTGGGATTCATGGTATATTGGCTGCCATGGCCCTTGAACCAAAGACTGCTTTTCCAAAACCATATGTTTTCAGAAAATATGATCTTATGTTTATTTCACCTTAACTGAAAGCTAGTTTAATATTTAAGGTGGTATCCAGCAGTACTGTCTCAATTGTGAAGAAGATGCTCTGGACTTCACAGCATAAAATTATCTGTTTTTAGTAAATCCATTGAAAACAACATACTTTTTTTCTTGAAAGTTTTCACATGCAATTCAGCTAAAATTTGCACATTTTCTTGAAATCCAAACAGAAAATACTGACAGTTAGAAAACAGCAGCTTGTGGGAGTAACAATTACACCCTGACCTCACTCCCTTGAAATTACAGTGTGACCTTTGCCTGCTTTGCCTTTCAGAAGTCAAATTCTCTTTTATGTATCTCTCTTATTTGGAAAGTTTATGATTTTATACAGGAATGGTTATGGTGCTCATAATTCATTATTAAACACAACTTATTGCTTTCTGATATTTATTGGAAAGGATGAGGACAAGAAAATAAATCACATCCTGAAATGTAATGTCATAATTTCATTCATTCTGGATGACTGACGAAATATTCATCCAGCTTCTCAGGCAGATATTCAAGACTACACAGTTCCACTCTGCAACCTATATCCAAATCATTAACAAATTGAGATCTAGCTTAAGTACCTCCACAACACATTGTCACCAATGCAATGTCAGATGCGCTGTTAAAAACCTCAGTCCTAGCCCAACTAAAACGATCAATTTACTTTGTTAAAATATCTACCACCAAGAGAATTTTACTCAGAAATTAAGGAAGCCCTTTGTGAACTATTCAATCTCAATTCTATTGCTGTACTCAAATCAGACCTTGCTTTCGTTAGACAGCTGTTAAATATGAAGAAGCAGTCTTGATCCTAGCACAGAGCTTTAAGGCAAGAGGAAATAACTGAACCCAGCAGATAAATGAGGGACTTGGGAAGGACACAAAACCAGGAGGCTGCCATAGCTACTGATTCATTTTTGTGGAAGGTGAACCAAAATCATCAGATACATAAGGCTATCCACAGCAGTATCTCCAGTCAGCCACCAGCATAGACCTGACAAGGTTTCTAAGCTGTCAGAAGAGATCTGAGCTGGCAAAACTGGAAAACAAGAATAATGGTCTCTGACAGACACAGACTGACCTGACTGATTATTGAAGAGAAGCATGAAAGGAGAATCAAACCTGGCACCTCAGCAGCACTTACTTTTGTCCATTTTCAATAATTTCATCAGGTTTTTCTCTTGTTTACACTTTTTTTCTTTTCAGTTACTTCAAATTTCACTGTGTACAAATATAGAATTAACTCCATCTACCCTCAGCTATTATAAACAAGGCAACTAGGCTGATCACTATGTTCTCCTCTGTCATAACTAGGATGAAGAAGAGCACGATAGGAATCTGCTGAGCATGAATTATTATACCTATTTCCATACTTGGATACTAGTGGAACGACTCGTATACTGGATGGGCTGTCTCTCTACTAGCTGGTCTGAATTCAGTTTTAACTCTGCTTGGAGCAGGAGGCTGGACTAGTCGACCTCTGGAGGTCTCTTCCAAGCTGAATTATTCTATTCATCCATGAACTGTCTAAGACAAAAGCAACATAAACAGTAACATCTATGAGATGATCCATATTACAGGAATTAGATATGTCACTTTTGAGGAGGGCAGGGTGCCTCCTCTGAGTATTTTGGCCCCCAACCTTCCTCAAACCTTTTGAAAAAGAAGCTTTTTTCAATAGTTTTTTTTCTCTTGTCCATTGAGACAAGAGGTTCAGAGACAAGGAAACATATCAAGGGGAATACACAAACAAAGTGCACAAAGACCTCTATGGAAGCAACCAGACAATGTATCTGACACAGGATGAAGAAAGGAAAGTGAGTGGTAAAGGAAGAGTAAACTTGGGGTCAGGTAAAAGAAAAATTTCCTTAGAAAGGAGAGAGATGAAACAAAGGATAGTCCCTGATTAATGAAAAGTATATCCAGTTTTAAAAAAAACAAACCACAAGCCAGGACCCTAATAATGGTGGTATAGACTTAAAGTAGACATTTATTCGGGTAAAGACAGGATTATTACAGGATTTCCACATTATTTGCTACATTCCTAGAACACAAAAAATTGCAAAGAAAAGCAAAAAAAGACAAAAATCACACACACACACATACACACAAAAGCAAGTATAGAAAAGACTAGGATCCATTATCTAAGGAAAAAAAAAGAAAAAAAAAGAAATATTTTTAAACATTTTGATCAATAGTACAATAGTATTTCACAAGCTTAGATGGACATAAACACATTTAGTTTCAGTTACATATACCTATTCATAAGCTTAACCTTAAAAATGCCTATCTAATAAACCTTCCATTTGTGCTCTCATAAATCCTGTAAATCTTCCATTCAGTACCCTGTTGCAAAACATTAGGTGGAATTAAACAATAATATATGTAAATTATACATTTAAAATAGTGAACAATGTAATGAAAGGAACACTCTTAACATTCCAATCCAGTGGGGTTTAAATTAACTTTTAATGCTCAGCAGCTGCTAATTAATAAGGAGCCTACATGTTTGACTGTACTACAACACACAAACTAGGAGAAGGAAAGGTGCAACACAAGGGCAAAAAGCCGGTACTAAATGGTGCACAAATACCAGTCCTCAGGTTTACAGGAACAGGTAGCAGTGCCCAGGTCCAAGGAGCGACATCTGTCTGCATTGAACCTCTACCTGAAATCAGGAGCTTTGAAGGCTTGGTGACACACTGACCCTCTCATTCAGTAATTCCTCCCTCGCTCCAAGAAAGAGCATATGTAACTACAGACAGAGAGCTTATGGTATAGTTTCTCATTTTGGCACGTCGCATGCATCTAAAATAGTATGGATATTTTTTTTTTTATTTTATTTTTAGCAGTGCAAATAAAGACTTAGCCTGCACCATAATCTGCATGTGTATTCCACTGAAAAGAATAAAATAATAAAATTTCACAGTGCAGAACAATGTCTGCAAAGGTCACACATATCTTCTCGAGGGGGAAGCGCCATGAGGCAGATGTGAAGAGGCCACATGTTGTGTCAATCCTCAGCACAGAATGAACAGAGGTGAAATATTAATGCCTTGCAAGAAAAAAATTCTTGCCTATATTATAGGAACCAACAAAGAAAGAAGAAGGGGAAACATGACATTTCTCCACCCGGATCATGATAAACAGGTCTGGTTTTAGCCCACCTTAATATTGTCAGTAGACACGAACTAAAGGACTGATATGACCAGATGCAGATGAGCCTGAAAGCAGTGAAATGTTTTTCCTTGCTACTCCCTTTTTCTTGCACCAAAGCTCCGCTATTCTGTTACCTACACTAGTTGTCAGGCATACCTCTTCTTAAACTGACCAGTAAGAATATATACACTGGCTCAGATACCAGCATCCTGCCTCTGACAATGGCCAGTAGCAGGTGTCCAGGAATAATGTCAGGGCAAGCAAGGAGGTATTTCTTTCCTGATGTACGATCCCAACTTCTGCCCAGACATGGCACGGAAGTTAACAATGTCAGGATGGCTTACTGCAAATTTCAATACAGTTATCCTATGTAACGGAACGACAAAAATCAGTACCGAGGGTGTGCAGTTAAATAACTGATAACATATCTGTAAAAGAGGAAGGCATGTGTGAATAAGAAACTAAGACTGAACTGAAATCTAAAAAAAAAAAAAAAAAATTCTATCTTAATTTGTTTTGTTTAGTTTGCCTATTTTTTAAAAAGGGAAGTAATTCATTAACATTCAG